ACATTCACGCGGCTCAAACATATAGACTCAAGTTTCGTTTCCTGTTAGTAAATTAGAGATCACCCTATCATCACAGTTCTGAACTACCTTTGTGTGAGCTACCTTTTCGATGCTGGATATACCAGCTTTAATTTTTTCAACCCGTCTGCAAACTGTCATATATGATACCGAAGTAGACAAATAAATATCATTCAGTTCATAATATATTTGTTTTGGTGGTATATATAAAGCAGCATGGCTATTTATATAGGCCGCGTATTTCAATTTTACCTTGCTTATTTATTGGTGAGCCAACAAATTGCATAGTGTAGATTACTTACATACATATGCAAGTTGATATCTTTTTCACTGTCGAGGCAATTTGCACGTGGTTTTCGTGCTTTCGTAGCTATTAAATCGAACTACATACCTGGATAGAGTTATTAAACAAAAACGTCTAATTTAAACATGTAAACACATAAGTAACATTACTTTTTGAAGCACCATTGTACTTATAATCATGCACTCAGTCCTATCTGAATTATAATGAAGGAGTAATGTATTTGTAGATCAGAATGCATTTGGAATTATATATCAGAAATTCACAAATTTCAGGAGCTAGACTTCCAGGGCGGCACATCCTCCCTTCCAATTTAACATTTCAAGTATGAGAGAGTGAGTGTAAACGCATATAATAATCCCATTTAACTGTTATTATTAGGTGACTGCCTTGTATTCCAGGATAATTTTGGGGCGTCCGTGGCCAAGTGGTTAAGGTCGTTGACTCAAATCACTTGCCCCTCACCGCTGTGGGTTCGAATCCCGAAAGGGACTTTGGATTCTTTCATGTGAGGAAGCTCTCCAGCTAGCTTACGGAACGTCGGCGGTTCTACTCAGGTGCCTGTTCGTGCTTGAAATAATGCACGGAAGGGCACCTGAGGTCTTCCTCCACCAGTAAAGCTCACGGTGTCAAGGGTATACGCATCATTTTTCCGCGTACCGTCGATAATTTATCATCCTGCGCGCAGCACCGTATCATTTTAGACAAAACAAACACTTAAACACAACATGCATGATGAAAAACGACCTGAAAGTCACACTTTTGAAGTAAGTGTATTCATAAAAGTGTGTCTACGGAATATTATGATCATTGAAGCTTATGTCTTTACCTAGTTTTTATCAAAGACTTGTACGATTTCTTTGTTTTAATGAAAACAGCTAGAGCTGGCTTGGGGAAAATGATCATTTTGAAAACATTTAAAAGGAGAAAATGATGTTGTCAATCGAAATATTTATTTGATATAACTGTAACCATCAAAGATATGTATGCAACAAATATTGCACACAAATTTAAGCTGTTTAATTTCTGAAAAAAGTCATAAAAGCGTGACAACTGACTGAGTTCTTGGTACCGTATCATGGGTCCGCTCCGAAAATTGTGGCACCGTATACATTTAGGCTAGATTTGCACCGCTTTATGATGATTAACCTAATGGAGAATAATCTTATTTGTATTTATTTATTGTTGCCCATCTGGGCGAAGCATGTAGATGTATATTAATTATTTACAAACCGGGGGAAAATGCATAAATACTATTCAGTTCTAGAAGCAAACCTGATTCTTTGTGTGTCCGCTGTAAACACATGGGACCACGGTCACATTCGAAAGAAACTGAGACTTTACTTTAATATTAAGATCGGTTCGATTAGGACAACCTGAGTGAAAATTGCTGACTTTATTATGCATGTAAAGAAGCAAGTCTATAGTGAAAATGTTATGTATATTTAACACAAATATGCATATATCATTGTTACCATTTTTATACATACTCTTTGAGATAGTCCTTACGGGGGGATTTTCTAAAAAAATCAAGCTTCCTACTCAATCCGTGCAATTTAGTATTTGTCAATTATCATGTAAATGAAATGTTTATAAATAAAATATTGTTATAACTAAAGAATTTGAGTAAATACATTGGAAAAGTAAGGAATCGACGCCGAGACTTCTAGACTGAAACGGCGGACTTGGAATTCTGGCATCGCTTGTCGAGGCGCGCAAGAATCTTAAATTGTTGTGGTTAAAGTTATCTATAAGTTTTTTATAATAGTCTATCAATAACTGGAACTACAAGGAGAAATACATGCCGACACAAATATGTAATGGATACAGTACGAGTTTTCTTTCAAAAGTGTCTTCTTACAGACATAAGAAGACAATTTTGAAGAAAATACGAGTAACTGTATCTGACTTATACGACATTTAATTCTAAAGAACCGATAAATTAATAAACACATTTAACTATAAATAGATCTATGTATGTTCACTTTGAAAATATAAAACTATAGAAAATATTTGCAAGGCCTTTAAGCTTTTGGCAGTGAAAGGTGTGGTAAATTGTATTCGCACGGAACTTTCGTGCACTTAGTCAATCGGACATAATTCACTTTCAATTATGATAAACAATGTTAAAATGGCTGTGTCATCAATTAACATAATGTCAAATTTACTAAAGTCGATTATGTCAGTCAACATTGAAATCGTCTCTAACTAGTTTTGCGTCAATGTTATATGGATTACATTTTTGGACCTTTCCTTATTCACATGCTTACCTTAACACAATGTTCAGCAGTTTATGGCAGTTGATTTTTTTGTGTGTGTGGGCCGGTGGGTACAGTAAATGTCACGCTAATGTTGTTTTATAGAATGTCAGACTATATAAAAAAACTAAATATTGTACAATTTTCCAACGAACAACTGTTTGTTTCGTCAATGCTAAAATCAACACTTACTTTGCTCCTGGAAATGGACATCCAATTTCTCGATAAACTGGATATTCTCATGAGATGCGCACTACTTTCCATCGGTTTCTATAGTGTTCTGTTTGAGGCAGTTAAATATCGCCTGTTAAGATTGACTCAATGTTCAACTATTCGACAAATTCAATGTTGAATGTCGCGAAAAGTATTTTGAGACGTAAAACTTTGCTACTTTGTCTTTAAAAATACAGAAAGGCGGACAAAACTTTAAGAAAAAATCGAGCATGTCAATAGCAGTCCTGTAATTGTCCCAAGAAGGACACCGTATATTTCAACTGCTCTAAATCCACGTGGAAAGTAACGGTTATTTAAAAGTGTCTTCTTACTATTGTGGCTGATTTAGAACACTTTTGTGCGTCGTGTTGGCGCCGTTTGGCGTGCCGCGCTAGAGACAGGACGACAACACGACAGCGCGACAACGCATCGTTTGGTGCTTTGCGACAAGACGGAAAGGCGATAACGATATACTAGTAGGTTGCGTCGTCGCTATCGACAACGCAATGCGCAATGTACCAAATCAGCCACCATACATAGTTGCCACCTTTCTTAAATTCAGTAACATGCGTAAGTTACGTGCCCAGTCAATTAGTTAAGTAACAAAAATTCAAATGTAAAAAAGAAATTAATATACTATTTTAGAAATATGAGCTTTGGCTTGCTTGTGTGTTTTATTAACAAATTTGAGAGTAAAATTTCAATTACTGATATCTGCAAATATTATGCAATTCCCTAGTCCAAAGAAAAGTTCACAATAGACATAAAATGCAACTGCTACGAAAGCAAAGAATTTTAACAAGAAATCATCTTTGAAAAAAACTATAGAGGCCCAGATTGCTTCCAGGCCCAGGTAATCCACTGCCCCGCTTACCCTAACCGATCACCAACATCTACCTCTTCTTGTCAATCCTACAATAAAAAATAACAATACCCCCCCCCCAAAAAAAAAACAACAAAAAACAGTTAAACACATTTTAAAGTACATGTATACAGTATTACTGCGCAAAAAGAAGCGGTGCCATGGTTCTGTATGATGCGGTACCATGTTTATCAAAGTTTTCTTGATTTTACAACATTATTTTGCATTATTTGTATAAAATTGGTATGTTATCAGCTCGGGTCAATGCTTTTTGTGATCATTTGACATATGATACTTCTTCCGACAGCTTTACTTTCGGAAAAGGGTGAAAAATGTTCGCATCAAGAACACAATTGTTTCACATGTATAAAAGTGTTTTCATTTGTTTCAGGTTATAATAGACAGATATTGTTGCAAAATGTTTTGCACACATAGAAAAATCATTCAAAACTTCCGTGATGTATGCAAACTCTCTAAATAAAATCAATTTTAGTAAGAAATTTTCGCATTTTTGAAATTACCTTTTGAACTTTTCAGAAGATTATGTAAGAATGATACGGTGTTGCGCACATGATGATAAATTATCGGCGGTACGCGGAAAAATGATGCGTATACCCTTGACACCGTGAAGCTGGAACGTCGCGATATGATATACTGTGTCGATGTGACGTAAAACCCAAAACAAACAAAACAAAACCAGGAGAATTTCGTTGGTGAGTTTGCATTTTCTACGATGTCTCTATTCGATGGTTACGATTGGTGTGCTTTATTTAAAACATAGACTAAAACTTTGTTACAAATACATAGTCAGATGAATTGACAATTAGTTGTTAATTTAATTTAAGTGATAAAACCTTAAGGGAAAGGGAGAGAGCAATTATAGAAGAGAATATGGAGGGAATACTAAGTCTTATAGAAATGCTGATCAATTATTTTGTCTCCGACACATAACACACATATACATGTATATTGACAGGAAATACAAAAGGAACAAGAAAATACTTTAAAACACCTTAAAATGTTAAAAGCAAAACACAACTTTGAGTTTGAACTTGTTCATGGTCCATTGCAGGTAGCATTTTCTTGATAAAAGCAATAGGCTCATTTCGTTATTATCAGATTAATTAAGGTGATGCATTATTTTTCCAGGTCGGTTGTAATAAAAGCTTATTGTAACTAATCTACGGACCAGTCTTGGAACCAACAAGTGCTACTGTTGTATCAGGTACATGGTCATGATTCATCGGAGCTCGCACATATTATTCCTTGCTTCGAGGGACAGACGTCATGGCTAGTATTTCATTTTAGATACGAAAACTATTAAGGCAATATATCTAGAACTCTTCAATTTATTTCATTTATTTATTGTTTCGGGATGAATTATTACAAAATACTGCATAAGTTTTGATGCCCTTAATGTATTCAATCCACAGAATTAGAACCTTTTGTAGAATAATTGTCGTTGTTGGATCTATCAATTGCATCGATAGAAAAATCGACAATTCTTTGCAAGGCCAGCAATAAAAGTATATCCACTTGTTCAACGGAATCCTGTTCAGTAACATAGTTTTTTACTGGAAAGATATTACCAAATGTAACTCCAGTTACATTATGCACCTTTTTAATCACTTCATAAACCGCTGCGCTATTGAAAACTTTGGTAATGTCGTCTTTAACTTCCGTGCAAACATTATCTGTATGCGTTACAATAACAACTCGATTTGGACCTGAAATAAAAACATTAATAGCATTAATCATTTTATAACAATGTCAACGTGCAACTTAATCAAACTTTTCTCTCCTTATTATTTTTCTTTTGGTTACTTATTTAAGACAATTTAGTCATCCAACTGTTGTATATCATATTGTAAGAGTCGTACTTTTTTATTTACACGTGTATTGTATAAATTTATATTAATGATGCGATAAAAATTAAACATATTTTTTAAAAGAAATTCAACTATGATATTCCAGACTTGATGCTTTACGTTTTCGGCTTTCGGCTTTTTGTATTTCATTTAACATACGAAAACAATTTAGGCAATATATCTATAACTCTTCAATTTATTTATTTAGTTATTTAATGTTTCGGGATGAACTATTATCAATAACCCATGTCCTAACCATTAACATTTATTAGCCGTGGGATTTTTCCCCGATATCCATGTCAAAAACAGCTGTTTAAGTGGTTGTTGCCTCATGATTTCCTGAGACGATTAAAACCAAGCAAAACACTCGTTCTTTACGTCGTTTGGTGAAACGTTCATTCTAGAAGAAAAAAAAACATCGCTATTGTGCTAATAGCGCTCTCTGTTTGTTAGCTTAAGAACTAAAGCGTTCCCGTTTTTATACTATGCCATGACGTGATGCCACATCAGACGGAGGAAAACATGTTTAAAAAGCGGCTGATAAATGTTTGGAGGCCAGAACTATCTGCTTGTGGAATAATTTAGTTTTGGGATAGTTTTGCGTTTTATATTGGCAAGACACGTGAAACAGGTTTACACCGTGGGCGTTGCTATTTTGTTTTTGATAGTTGTTTACCTTTGCCATGTTTGATGTCGAAGAATATAATTTTTTCTTAACACGAATTCATTGGTCGATATTTTAAGCACCTGTTGCTGTATATCGACGCAATTTGATTCATTTCACCCAATGTTGATTACATGTTATGTTACACGTTAATCAACCGTGGATAACCGACAATAGAAAACATGAGTGAGCGAATTATCTGAAAGTTTGCACAAAATTTATTAAGCCACATATTGTACATACTTCTTGAATTTCCACTCCGGTATTGTTCCTTATAAACGTTATGATATAACTTAGAAGCCAAATGACTGTTCTTAATATGCATAACAGAACCGCTGAAAGGAAAAAACAATGTGCTACACACACATTAGGAACACGATTGTCCAAATATGTTTACCTGATGGCATGTCCTTAATACGTTCTTTTATTTCTGCTATCTTTTTCCTCAGGTCTTCTTTTAGTCCAAGTTTAATATTTTCACCATCCAGTACGTATACGATACAATGTTGAAACAGTTCCTTTTTTTCAACTGTGTCAACTATATCTTTGTCAAGCTAAGAAACATCAAGAATATTTAAAATTTAATGCAAATACATTGTCTTTAGATACAGAAAGTGTCACAGTTACCTTGAGATTTCACCCAATAGCTTCAAAGTCATTTTTGGTCATCTACTAGTCATGCTCAATTGTTATGTATCCATTTCAATTTGTAATTAGTAAAGATGAATGTCAGTTTAGATTTGTTTTAATGTGTATATTTTGTTGCTGGGTCTTTGCATTATGAATCAATTTTGATATAACTGACTGTGTGTAAAGATTATATTTTAAAAATTGGAAATAAATGCAAAACTCAAAATAAGTATTACATTAATTAACACGTATCATTTATCATTGGTCCTAAATACACATGATTTACTTTGTTGGTTGGATGAAACAAGTGCTCTATATGTTTTTGTATTGCTACTGTTCATCAAAAGCGGCATATATATGTAAAACAATGCAATAGAGACATATTTGTTCTACTTTATTTTTTACAACAGAAATACTTCAGTGACTGTTATTTATATTATACAACTTTAATATATATAATGTAATGAAGTGTAAATGTGCCAACATGTTATGTCATAGTTTGTCAGTATTTTACACCCATCAACTGTTCTTAAATAGCACAGTGAATTGATTAACTTTTCAAATCTATCATAAAACATTAATAGGTCGCCTGTGTCCGCTTATCTAAAGGTACTGTCATTGCCGTTATTAATTAACCTTACAAAGTGATTTCCTGAATCAAATCCTTGTATTTTCCTCCTTTACACAGACATGGCATTCAATATCAATTATTTGCTATATTTATTTAAATGAAAAAAAAAATATTTTGTTTGTAACTTTGTACAATTATTTGCGTACTGTTTATTTAATATATTTTAATATTTTGTTTTAATCTTCCAAAATATGGTATAGGATAAATGCAAAAAGGAAAAAAAAGAAAAAAAAACAAATAAATCTTACTTTTATCATTGTTTATTTAAACGAGCTTTCTTTCGGTGGTCTGCAAATTCTTTTTAACTTCGTCAATAATCTCGTTTAAATTTCCTATGATTTTTCAATTTATATTAGTAATTTTTGAAACGTTACAAATATTAGATATTACAGTCCGTGAGACATCTCATTCCTATGTCGTCAATCATAAATACCTATCACTATCTTTTTTGAATTCATAATTCTAATTCTAGATTTCATAAAGCACATTTACATAATGATATAGAAGTTTTGATATTGTAACTACCAAACTGAAGTGAACAAAGTTCCAATTTTTATCATGTTTGTACATGTATGTGGGCAAAGGCAATTAAGAGCATACACCAAAATACTCCCTTGAAAATTAGCCTTTTATGTTTCATTTGCAATCCTTACCCTTTACTAAACATTTTATGAAATAAATCAAAGTGATTTATTTTTTAACCTATTGTATTTCGACCCACACATTAATTCTATAATATATAAATCAAAACTACATTTTGAAATATCTGTCATGCTTAAAGTGACATTATGCTTATTTTTTTTCTTTGTCTAAATCATTTGAACATTTACAATAAATTATTGTTCACGTCATTTATTGATTATACACAGAACCTGAACTATGCAAGAGCCAAATAGGTTTTGAACACAGAAAAGTATACCTCTTGTAGTTTCAGTTTATGTCCAGGACAAAGTTCAAAGTACAATAATTCCAAAATTTGGCAATACATATTTATGATTCTTCTGCACTGCACAACTGCTTAATGAGATCTATCTACCTACAAAGGTTCATGTTGATATCTCTTATAGTATCAGCGTTATGTTCCAGACAGAGTTCAAAGTGAAAAAAAGAACAAAGGGCAATAACTCTAAAATTAGGCAAGGAGGAATAACAGTTCTTTTGCACTGCCCTCCTACCAACTGAGATCAGTCTATCTAAAAAGTGTCTTATTCATATCTCAAACACTTTCTGAGCTATATCCTGGACAAAGTTCAAAGTGTAAAATTGAACAGATGGCAATAACTTCAAATTAAAGCAAGACAGAGTTACGATTATCTTGCGCTGCACTTATATTGAATAAGATCTATGATAATCTATTTACAAAGTTTCTTGTTGGTATCTCTTATAGTTTCAGAGTTATGTCCCGGACAAAAGTTCAAAGTGTAAAAATAAACAAAGGGAAATAACCTAAGAATCAGGCAAGGCAGGGTTATGTTTTTTGCACTGAACTTTTAGCTCATCAAATATATCTATCTATAAAGTTTCATGTTGATATCTCTTATAGTTTCTGAGATATGTCACGGCAAAATTTTAAGTGAAAAAAATAAGCAAATTAGGCAAGGCAGAGTTACCTATTGAAATCTATCTATCTACAAAGTGTCATGTTAGATATCTCATATAGTTTCAAAGTTATGTTTTGGACAAGAAAAGTGGACGGACGGACGGAAGTTGTTTTGAATTTGTTCTATACACGCACCATTTATACTTTAATGTGTATAATGCAACTATAACCTTTTTATTAACCAATATGATAAGTCACACATGTGATTCAACATAATATTGATTTATGTCTACTTTTGCACGAGGTTGTTGCAAATCTGCTACTTCTTGCAAATTTCATTTAAGTTGATAACACGATTTCCATGCAATTTTGCTTTTTTTAATGCTTTCGAGGGATAACTTTACCAGATATTTATACATCACAATAGCAGGTGTTAAGGGCTGTGTGGCAGCCGTAATATGTTTCCCCGTACTTTACTTCAGTGTTGTTATATTTTCGGGTCCTTCGGGATAATTGAGTCCTGCACATTTAAGTATTTAGAATTGAGTAGCGCTCAAGCCGGTTTGGGTATGTGAGGGAAGTTGCATTTCTTATTATCCCTCACGTACAAACTCAATCTAACCGAGTCTGCAATTTTCATGCAATTGCTGTTTTTATGCTTCCGAGGAAACACTTTTTCCAGATATTTTCATATTGTTTACGTGTTGTATTAAGAAATAACATTATCAATTTATTTCTATTCGTTGTTGGTAGTATTTTTTATGGCAGCTTTTAAAACTGAAATATTGGGTTTGATCTGCTGCAATCCACAACTGAATTTGAAATAACTTATTTTTTGTAATTTAAAATTTGCAACACTGTGTGTGTTTGACATTAAAACAATAATGCAGTCATTTGAATTCTGCTAATTTTAAAAGCAGTTGCTAAGGGGTGTGGTCAGTAGCTTGCAATTACCAGTACCGTTCATGAACATGCTCAATAAAATGCTGCAATATTTTTTAATTTGTGGTGTTTGGCATTCTTAAGGGACTCTTTTCTCTCCATTTTGTTAATGCTTACTCGTGCAGATTACCCCTTCAAAGCCTACGAATTTAGTTAAAGATTGATATTACATGCCTTTGTTCCTGGCTCTATTTCTCCTTTAGCAATTTGCTGTGCACGTTCCGTTTGAAGCCCCTTACCAGCTGCTTCCTCTAGTCCCATGGTGTCATAAAACGTTATATTTTTGAGCTGGTTCACTGCTCTTATTTGGTGAAGCTGTTAGGAAAAGTAAAACATAACAGTGGCATAATATGTTCAAAGTCATTTGAACGACGAATCGTTCATTGATACTTTTGATACTTAAGTTTAGAAAAGTTTTCATGTTAAATGAAAAAACTGGAAGTCAATAGTAATGAATTCTATTTTATGTGCAATATACCAACGAATTCAATTTCACAGATTGGCTCACATAAAGCTATATTTGTAAACGTTAGAGGGAATTACTGCTTTTCGATTAATTTTATAATCCATTTGAGTGATCTTTAATAAAGTTATAAAAGTTACAGTTTAAAATATTTACATCCACTTCAATAAATGCAAGTATTTCTTTAATTTCAAGAGATATTAAGAGGGATGGAATTGTTTGCGAATGTCTAATTTAATCAATATAGAACTATGTACTTGTAAAAAGACTTACATGCAATGTATGTGAAGTCAGGCCTCGACCAGCTGGAGCCTTACTGGTTATTCGATTTAATACGGTTGTAAAATACGAATTAATTAGACTTGATTTCCCGCTTGCCACCGGGCCAATAAATACAACATTGATATTTTCCTTGAGTTTGTTAGCAATGTCATCAAGTAGAGCTTTGTGCACCTGTATATAAGAATGTTTTAAATGATTAATATTCAGTGTTCAAAGACATTTTGTTATGAAAATAAATAAATTGTCAGCACCTTCATTATTTGAAAAATGAAGTAGATATAGTTCATGATAACTTCAAACACTATTTTAAAAAAATTACTTAATTTAAGAATCAGAAACTACATCAATTCTATTGTGATTTGCATTATACTGCTTTGTTCTGCGCTCTGAACACGAAGACAAACTAGATTTTTCTTGATAGGTCCGAACATATATTGTGTTCAAAACCTTAAGAGTGTATGTTATATACTCTGTATAGTGCCCTATACAGGATATTTGCGTCTATAACGTCTATGACGCACTATTTAATGTAACAATACAAATCGAACGGTATGAATATAATTATGCAATTTATCCTGCTACTGTCTATAGATAAAATGGATAAAGCTTTGCCGTATAAACTAATCTATCTCCAGTCATTACGACAGAAGTTTAGCCTATGATGACGTCATATAATTACCGGCAAAGAAAAAAGTAAGAAAGAGAAACCATTTAATTAATGTAAAAATCTTGATTTAACTAGACAAAAGCAGGATAAATCGAATACATGGTTGTTGCCGGAATGGAGAAGGTTTACCGGTCCACTGCGAAAATGAATCTTGGTTCGCTAAAACTCTTCAAGATACACTTTTTCGCTCACCGGATAAACATCTCCATTCCAACATCAACCATATATTCTATATATATATCTCTGTCACTCCTTATGAAAAATGTTTTAAACTTATTTTCTAAGCAACACAATTGTACGTTGTAAAAAATATTTTTTGAAGGAACTCCACTGAAGTTTTTTGAAGTCGGTCACTAAGAGTGGGTCAGAATATGCACAATAATTGTAAATTAAAAAAAGTCGATATCACCTTCTCAGTCCAGCCATCTGAAAGTATTTTATGAGTGCGCCATGGTTCTGCGAGTAATGGTTCCTGTTTTGGTGGGGTTGGTGTTTCCTCCATGGGCTGGGGTGCTTTAGATAAAACTATTTATTAAAAAAAATGATGTTATTTTTAGACAAGTTATCTACAAATTATCTATTCACCAGTTATAAAAATCTGAACCGCAATAATCTTAAGAGTAGATCATGAAAAATTGTGATTTCTTTTTTTTAAAAGTATTCATAAATGTATTCATGCACCGGTGATCACGGAATCTAAAATGCAACAATTTCATGTCATTCAATGAAAAGTAGTGTATGATATCCAATATATAGATAAGGAAGTAAACATTGAGCAGAACTTGATAAAATGAAACTTTACAAAGGTTATGAAGTATTATTCAATAAAACATACCACCGAAAAGATAACAGGAAATAAGATTTATCTAATTGTACAATTAGTAACTTTATGTCAAATGTAAATTTAACATCTAATTTGCCATTATAAATGGTAAATATGTGCATAACAATTAGTTTTAAATTTACATCTTAGAACTTTAAAATCTTCTGTAGATCTTTATACTTTATATTTTTTTAAAGATTTCAGAGATAGAATCACAGGAACCCGAAATTCATATATATATATTATAGTATATATATGGGATTTTTTTTTAAATCGTAATTTTTTGTTTTGGATAGAATTTCGGGTTCCTGTGATAGAATCTATCTCATTTTTTTTAAAGCGTTAAAATAAAATTACAATTAAACTTTGCTCAACGGATATTAAAACATGTTATATTTCCTTTCACAAATTTCTGAATGAAAATACTGAAAATATTAATAATTGCTAATTTCTTGTTAACAAACACTAAATAAAATGTAAATATATACATAATGGCTTTGATAAAGTCTTTACTTACCGTCTCCCATCTTGTAGTTTGAACTGTAAAGATTACAACATGTACTGACTATGTTACTTTCCTAAGATAAAGCGTTATTTAATATGATACGCTATGATTTGACATAAGATTATCAACCAAATATCCCTTCTTAACGACCCGTAAAACTCGTTTGAGCAGTTCATTATCTATATGTTACAATTTACAGCAATAGAAGTGTATAATCTTCCATCAGTTGGAGAGACGCTTTTAAAAAAACTGCAAATTTTATTAATGAGATCTTTACTTTATAACAAAGCAATAAGTATAACACCTTTAGTCCAAATTAAACAGAAATCAATCTTTCCATTTCACAATATAAACTTGATAAAGGAGTTTTATTTGCACATAAGAACATACTATTAAAACTGGAGCATGTTAAAGTAAAGTATATGTATGTATTTAAATGAAAATTCTGCGCTTGCAATAAGTCATAGAAAGAAATAGCATGGCCTTATACGTCTTCCTAGCTTATTTAAGGTGGTAATACAATATTTGTAACGTAAAACACGTGGCGAAATGGATTATATTGTAAATAAATGATTGTCATTTCAAATGGTAGAAACATTGGTTGGAATCTAGAAACGTGCGAAATATTTTGAAGCCCATGGCTTCGTCTTGTTCCTGGTCTTCAAAATCAAAATGCCCTTCATAAATCGGACTCGAAAAAATTGAAAAAAGATTGAAAACGTTTCTTTTTTCAATGCTTATAGCTTGGATTTACTTAATATTCATGCAATTCTTCCGGTACTAGGTTGAACAGCTGTTACCAATATAAGACCTGTATATCCTGTTTTGACAATATTTTTTTGGTATGTTTCTTTTTGTGCCTCCGTCGATCAGGAATGTTATGGCGAGTTAATTGTTTAAGTTTTAATAAAATGATATTCGTCTTTCATTAAGATTCTAAAGACATTAATCTTTAAAGGGCCAAACATACATGCTAGACGATAGTGAAGTGTACATTGTTACCTCTGTTATCGGCAATACCATTGAAATACACATATCACAACAAAGCATACAAGACGGGGACATTAACTTTGACTGACATGACTTTGTACAAAAAAAGAGTCAGAGCTTGTCGGTATTGTCATAAATTCATGCAAGAAGACGTCCTTAAGCCAAAAACAAATGTGGGGCTAATTTCTTTCACAACGTTCCCGGAAACTAGACAATTAGCTTTGTTTGTCGTCTGGATGGACGCCAGTATTTGATCGGGTGTGGCTTTGTCTATATATTTCTAAAACTAAGACAACAAGGCAAATGCAACATACACAGGACTCAGCTCCCGATTGACAAGTTCACATTTTGATGGAAAGACTGGACACACATATACAAACGCTCGGTGGTGACTTCCCATTTTAGACTTCAAATCTTAGACATCATGTATAGTATATTAGAAATGTGACGTCTGAAGGTTGAATTGTAAAGTTTGAAGCATGAAGTTTGCAGTGTGAAGTCTAAAATATGAATTGTGAAGTTTGAAGACTGAAATTTGCAGTGTAAAGTTTGAAGTGTTAAGTTTGAAATCTGAAGCGTAAAGTTTGAAGACTGAAGTTCAAAAGTCATTAGTAGTACGACATCGGTTCACCTTTGGTGACAATTTAGAGCGTTGAGATTTCAAACTTCAAACTTTAAGCTTCACATTTCAGACTTCACGCTTCAATATCATACTTCAAACTTCACATTTCTGATATACTATATTGAATTTACGGAAGCTTCAAAGGGTCACCTCTTACGCGATCTTTTATGAGAAGATTTACGCAAGTCGAAAGAATTAAGGTGCAAAGGCATGATATCTTTAGTGTTTTCGCAAAAAATAATTCGAATAAACGAGAAGATTTGAGTTAATTGGCCAAATGTTTTCGTGCAAAAGCAGAAACATTACACATAACGATAAATATTTTGACGAAAAATTAATAAAAGGTGTTTTTCGAAAAAAATATAGAGGCAATACATGATGCATTTCACTTTCTTCGAAAAAGATTATGACGCAATACCTAATTCATTTCAACCTTCTCGCATTAACTTTTGATGCATTACCATAATACAGTTTTCATTTGATGAAAAAAAGTTTGCGCAATGCCTAAAGTGTATTCCGCTTTTCGTTATAAATTTTGTCGAGATCGTCTTCCGTTTTGCATACGATGGCTTATTATTTCGTTAAATAAGTTTTAATAAAATTGTGATATTCAAGACTACAGCAGGTATTTGTGCGAAGTCATGGAGAAAAGTTCTAACAGTATTGGTATGATGTTAAATTTTTATCATCGTCATTATTAGTAGTATTACAATTAGTTGTAATGCAGGAGTTGTAGAAGTGGCGGTGCTGGCGGCAGTGGTTGTAGCAGCCCAGCAAGTATTAGTCTAAGTAGGTACATGTCGTATTACACGCCTTGTTAGATTCTCACTCAATTGGCTTTTCCATGATAGCTTATTTCATAGTCAGTGATTTACGGTGCCATTCTCCCTCATTTTGCATTTTTAATCCACGGAAACAAATTCTTAAACTAGGAGCTGTCACTGAAGTGACTTATGCCCCCCGATAGGAAGCTCTGGCATAAAATCCTCAATATATATACGCAAAGATGCATGTTTATATATACCCGACCTATTCCTTTGATAATATCATTCTAGTTTCCTATAATAGTCTATAACAATTTTCACTTAAATCATCATTATGGGGGGCCCAGAATTTGTGCGAAAAAAAAATCATGTAGCACAATCATGGGCACAGATGCACGCAACTATACTTGGCATGCAAACAATTTTTATAAATGCTCACTGATAATTTTCCAAGTGTCAAAGTTAATTTACTGAAATCAGGAACAAATCCACGACTAGGCTTGGTGGCAAACGCAATTTCTGTGAATAATTCTCTCCCCCCGCTCCCTAAGCCCCCCCTCTGCTTTGGGTGATGAAGCGCTGGACAAAGCTTTATTTTACTCAAAAAATGAACATTCAAGGGGCTATAACCTGATATCCATAAATAGATTCAAGCGGAAAATCAAGATCTAGTTGTCCTACCTAGGATAGTTTACAACATTCCCTAGTGAAGTAGTACACTAGGAATTCACTCCTCAGTTTTCTGATGAAGCACAGACAAGCTTAATTTTACTCGAAAATGACCAGAAAGGGGTCCATATCTGGCAAAAAAAGATTCAAGAGGAAAACCAATAAAGTAATGCACCAACCTAGATTTTGGTGACAAAAAATTCTGTGAAGTTTCACTGAAATCGCCCCTTAAAGCGCGACATATTATCCGACAAACGTTTGGAAGGGCGGGCGAGAGGGACAGTGGCGATTACTATAATGCCGACCATTCCGGGGGATAAAAATGCTAAAAACGACAAAAATTAACTATATGACTACTTGCCAATTTATTTGTTCAATCCAGACTTAACAGTATTCTTAAATTACCTTAAAATTTATCAAAATTTATGTGGGGCCTCCTCCCTAAAGAAATGTGTTTATAGAATAATGATTGTAAGCATGCAATAACAGCGCATAAACACATTACCAACACACAGGCATTTTTCAGGAATCATTAATTAAACCTTAGTATATTTACTTCAGAAAAAAGCGATGCAAATAATTATCAATATAATTTATATGATAATCTTACTAAAAGTAAAATCAAAGTCCTTAATATACTAGTTGTTATTGCGACTCGGCCAACAGTAACCAATGAACGTACTTTAACAGAAGCATAATCTCTGTTTCATTATAAAGAAATATTAATTGCCAGTAAAAAAATGTCATATTAAAGAAATTCCAATATGGAGGTTTTGCCAAACGTGTTTATTGAGGTAAAGTTTTGAAAATAATATCAAAATTAATAAGAGAAAAAGTTATGTTAATTATCATTCACTATAATTTTATTCGATTTCAAGGTCATAACCGATATCAAGGGTCAAAATTTCATAAATGTGATTAGAGCTCACTGCCACGTAACAGGATGAGGCATTTGTGGTCAATTTTTTTCCGGCGTCCATCTTTTCCTTCACAACAAAGTTCTCGCGCGTTGACTGAATATGATGCTTTTTCTCGCTCTAGCGTTTTCAATTTTTGCTTTGATTTTGGACTAAACTTTGTCAGAAAGTGAATCTTAATGTAAGGTAGATCATTTTTTATAGCAATGGATTATGTTTTTGGGTGAAGGTCAAGGTTCACAGTGACTTTGAAAGCAAATCAAAACTTCATGATAATTTGTTTTACACTAAATACTATCTGCTTGGAACAGTTTACAAAATATTGATAAAAGTATTTGCAAATGTAATAATATGAATGAAATTAGGGTGCATTTATTGACGCCATAAGAACAATTGGAAATACAATATTGGGCTGCAACAGCTACCAACAGGCATGTTATTGTAAAAAACGCTTCTTGAGTGGCAAATGTTTTGTTGTATGCATTTTCTTGCTCTTGTGGAACATATGTTGACAAATTCCCTATGAAAAGTAGCAATAATACAATGCAGTATTGAAGAAATGAAATAGATATTTCAAAACACGGACCGACAATGGGAACGAATAGGTTTGCAACACATATAACTTTCTACAGCAATTGACCAAGCTCATTATCTGCCATTATACATGAAGAAGCGTAACATTTTTATGGCAGGCCTACTTATTCACCATACCTTGTCCTTGCGACTCTTTTGTCGTCGTTTACCGAAATTAATAGAAATAAAAAAAAAAACACTAATAAAAACCGCTGGAAATAGTTCTATATGATAAAGACAGACACACTAATCTTGGAATCTGCCACTAGTAATAAAAAAAATCCGAAACTCCAACGTACCGCGAGTGACGCACTTCGCCGGAGAAACCTTAAAAAAAATTTACATTGCCCGCCATTTTCCCCTAAAAGCTTAACTGTCGAGTACTTCGACGGAAATGACAATTAAATGAATATAATTTACGTGGGATTCTAAAAAGTTTTATTACAGTATCAGTTCCATAATAATCAAATCTTTTCGATACCTTCCATGTTACTAGGCCTTAATTCACCGAACTTTGATAACGAACATTGTTTTGAGTAAATAGATCTGTATCGCGATGGATAAGAATGCATATCAAAAATATTTTGCTTCG